TCATTTAGAATTTCATTTAGCTACTATTTTTAGAAAGCTACTACAGGTAGCTAACCCAAGCTTTATTGGCCATTTTCAAAACTACAAAATGATCCACCCCACCTTTGCCTGTAAGTAGAAAGAATGCCACATTCTCTCTAAACACATAACTAAGCACACCCTGAGCTTCCCTTCCCTTTCTGGAGCTCTGTATGCTCACTCAGAATAGCACTGAAATACAGTTCCTAAATTATCATTCAAACAGCAACACAAATATCTTGGACTCTCCCAAAATAAGCAGTTAGGAGTTCAGTGTATTTTCCCTTCTTCTCCTGGTTAATTGACATATTTTATTTACCCTTGTTGTTGGGATCTAAGTGGTATTTATTGGAATTGGTTTTGCTCAAGATAAAATTTAAAAGGGAAGCTGGGATATCCCTCATGAACACAGTTGACTTATCATGTCCAGTCTATACTCATGGGTTAGGGGCCACAAGATGTGCACAGAAGTGCTTCCAAATGTTTCCCTAAATTTTCTCCAACAGGACAAATGTGAAGAAACACAGTTGTGTATGATGTTAGAGATCTCAAGCCAGAAACTCAAACTCCTCCATTTTCTAGGGATATAGGATTCTTTCCAGGAATCAATTTAAAATGACTCACAACATAACTGCAAACAATCGAGAGCTTGCATGTAGGATGCTCCCATTTCCAGCATGTTATTGCTGCTCTCAGTGTTTTTGAAATGACAGTTTTCCCTTCAGTAGAACCAGTTTAAAATTAGAAAAATCAAATACACATTAGAGAAAGCAGATTTACTCTTCTATTAATTGATAGGGGATGTAAAGCTCCCACCATCTGGGTGGGGGGCTAGCACTCCCCCTGTGGAGCCCTGGTCATCAGGAGCCCACTCCTCTAATTTGGGAGCTGTCTGCCTTTTGGAACCCAGAATTGGGTTTCCAGTGCTATGAATACATTTGTACTGGGGAAGCTGCCTTTGCAACAATCTGCACAAATTGTGTGTGTGTGTGTGTGTGTGTGTGTGTGTGTGTGTGTGCATGCGTGCACGTGGGTTACTCTCTTCCTCCTTTATTTAAGAACGTGAACAACCTTGAAAGTTGAACTCCCTACTCTATTCTGGCTTCTCTATGCCCTGCTGGACAAGAGGTAAGCTAGCATGCCCTATGCAATAACCAGAATATGATTCTTATAGGGAATGAAGCTTGAAGCTGATGAAGTTAAATATTACCAGAAGGAGCTTCCAGGACCACAGAAGTGTCTCCTTGTAGAGGCTGGAAGCAACCCAGGTAGGTGGGGGTGGGGGAGGGCCCTAATAGAAAATTGTTGAAATATGACCCCGTGTTTCAACTTTAAATAAGCATTTCTGTCCTAATAGAAGTCCCATCTAATATCTCCTGCAGCTTTGATTTTGGAACACGTCACATTCCTCATTAAAGCAATCACTGTTAAAACATAAAGCAACACAGGATTTATTTCTTCATTAAACTGATGATCCGTATATGAAGCCAATTAACATTATGAGTCTGGTGAACATCAAGTGTAAAGAGGTTAGAGAAAATTAAAAGCAGTCACCTTGGTCTTTAGATAAAGAAAGTACACTTTTAGGTTGTAAATTATCAAAGTGTCCAAGCGGGACAGATCGGCAAATTTGGTTAATTGGGAAATACATTTTGCTGCACAAGAATTAAGGAAAAATAAGAGTTTCCTAGCTAACGCCCCACCTCCTCTGTTTTGGGGAGGGGAGACCATAACGGATATTAGTCACCTTCTCCAGGACCCGAGTATCGGAGGCAATTTGGGGAAAAGGGGTTCACGTCATCAAAGTTTACTGTAGCTTTTTCGTTTCCGCAGTTGTTTGATTAGTTGTTTATTCTGTTTTCCATAGGAAAGAGCCCAGCTATGGAAAAGGGACATCGGGTGAATTGAGACTGAGAGTCCCGAGCTGGCTTGGAGCCCCTAGCAAGGTGGGTGCTTTCCTGGAGCTGAGTTGGTTGTCCAGCCAAGGACTTGGCCAGGCTCGCGTCAAGGAGCCCTGGGAGGATCCGGCCAGGAGGCAAAGGGGTCTTGGGGTGTTTCTCAGCCACCGGTAGGAGCGGTGCGTTTGAGACTGCAGAGTCGGGAGTTCTCTTCCTGCTCCCGGCGCTAAGTGCGCATCCCAAATAACTTTCTAAGGTTTGGACCGGGAGAATATTAAGATCTCCTGGAACTGTTTGCGTGGGCCTTGATGCGGTGCAGTACGGGACCTCACAGGGGCCCTAGGGACTGGTGTCTTCTTTGCCAGTTGGGGACTGGCAAAAACGCCAGGTAGGAAAAGAAGCTTGCCGCTGTCCATGGTTCTGATCAGTCGGCTGATTCGTAGGGAGGCTCAGACACTCGGTAGACTCAGACACTGAGTTTACTCAGACCCGGCACAGGTCAGGGCTTTCCCGGAACTTCCGCGGCTCAGGGTCAGCGACAGGGAGCTAATCCGAAGCTTGGAAGCCACTGTTTTTTGGGGGCCAACGCAGCAGTCGGAGCTAGGTTGCTGGGGCCGAGGCTCCCGCGGATAACGCAAGTGCACGCTGAGCCGAGCTAGCAGGGAACCCTTCCTCACCTCGCTTCCCCGGCTCTCGATTCCCAGAGCGCATAAGGCGCCCGCGGGGAGCTGCAGCCCAGGACAGAAGGACATCCGAGGGGGTTCTCGGCAGACTCCGGAGCTCAGGGAGCCTTCGGCTCCTGGAACTGGTTGCACAGAGCAGGGATGCTCTCTGAGCCGGACCTGGAGGGAAGCCGGCGCCCGCGAGCCAGCAGTGGCCTGGGACGGAGAAAGGGTCTGCTCCCAGCCTCGAAGCTGTGCACTGCCCCGCTGACCGCGCCATCAACCGCGGGGGCCCACCCGTCTCGCACGCGCTCTCCACCGGGCCCGGTGCCTGGACTCTTGGAATCTGTGGCCCTGGAGAAGAGCTGGAGCAGCGGGGTTTGTCCGTTCCAAGCCGAGACGGAATTTCCAGCCTTTCCTTGCTCCCAGCAGGGCCGATTCCGGCCAGGGGCGGCTGAGTCGAGAAAGGGCGGCTTCAGTGAAATAGGTTCTACTTGCGTCGGCCAGAGCAATGCCGCGTTTCTTCTAGGCTCTTTTCCCTCGGGTGTCCACCGCTCGGCCAGGGCCTCAGCACTCAGTTCTCCAGCTCTGCGCTACTCGCCCCAGGCGCTTGTTCACGAGTGGGCCCGCCAGGTCTTTTGTTTCCAAAGCTCTGTGTCTTTAAGATCAAGGCTGGATCCCAGGCCAGGCAGGGACCCGACCCACCGCTTCGCCAAGGCTCTCAAACGCAGCATTAGAATGTTTATAAAATATTCAATTTATGCAGTCTGTCCAAGAAGCCATCGTCCCAAAATAAAATCGGCAGTCTAGACGGAACACAGACACCAGAACTTATCAACAGTTGTCTGACTCTCATTTTCTGATGCATCTTGAGTGGGTCATAATACCAACTTTATTTTCAGTGGTGCATAAATTAATTACACGCATTTAATAACCAAAATATCATTATATTCCCCCTTTAATATCATAAAGGCTTTCCGCCAGGGAAGCACTTAATAGTGCAGGGGGCCGTAACGGGCTATTATCCTGGTGTAATGCTATTACAGAACCAATTATGCGCCATTAGACTTGCTTTTTTTGCAGTTTATGTGATTTGATCCAATCCCGCGCCCCTGACTTGAAAATTTCAACCCGGTACTTTAGAGTTTAATTTTCACCCAGGCAGAGAGAAGGGCGGTCTCTCTCCGCTGAGTGTCTGCCTCGGATGCATTTTAAAAGTAATTGCGAAGGGTCCCACTGCATATCATTTGCAGGGAGAAGCGAACATAAATTCAGGGACCCCTTGCTGAGAACAAAATCAAACTTTCCTTTTGTACGATCGCTTGGAAAGGAAAGCCGTGTGCAAAGAGTACCCCCAAAACCCATCCGGCGGCGACAATTAGCAGCGCTTTGGTAATTTTGCAGTCCAGGAGTCGTCAGGCCTCTGACAAGGGCGACCCGAAATCCAATCTCACTCAGAGAAAGAAGGTTTGAGTGTGAGGGGGCCCAGTAGGGTGGGGTTGGGACGACTGTTTAAAGCATAATCTCTTTGGGGAGGGAGGATATTAGTAGCTGTTGTTTCTATCTTCTTTTAAAAGAAAAGAGGAAAAAAGATTCCTGATGTTTGCTGAGAAGTGACGGATTTTTTTTTTTTTACACCACGTGGGCCATTTGTAAGGCCCAATAGACCTATCCAAGTTACTCGCTGTAGACAGCGCTGGAAATAATCAGATTAAGGCCAATTATGCGTGAGATTATAAAGGCGAGTGCTGAGCGGCGGCGCGCGCTGTAGACAGACAGCAAGACATCTGGCCACTTCCCCAGTCACTTCTCTGGTCCTGCGGGCGCCAGCAGCGCCAAGCCCCGCCCGCCGCCAGCCGAGCCCCGCGTGCGGACCAGAGGCGATCACACTCGGGCCTTCTCGCCCGCCTCCCGCGGAGGTAGGCAGGGTTCCCCAGGAGCTTCCCCCGCTCCCTGCTCTGGGCCTTGGGGCTCCACCGGCTTCTTGGCCCGAGCTGCTGCGCGTGCAGATGGCCTTGCGCGATCGCCTGAACTCGCTGCGGTGGCCAAGTGTAAGGCTTGCGGCCGGGACCCCTGAGAACCAGGAGCCAGACTGTTCTCCTGGTTTGGTGAGGGCGCGGTTGTCCAGCAGCCGAACCTACGCGAAAGGCTGACCGTAGGGTCACGGTTTGGGACTGGAGGTGCAACCACTTCCCCCAACCCCACCCCTCCCCCCCCGCCCCGCGGTGGCCCCAGGAGGCCAAAGGCTTTGGGAAGGGCTTTGTAGGAGGGGCACTCCCCGTGATCCTCGGGGTGCGAGGGCAGGAGACTCAGGCTCTACTGCTGTTTGCTTTGCAGCCAGGCCGGAGCCACGCACAGGCACAGGTCTGCCAGGCCGCCACCAGCCCCAGTCCAGCCGTCAAGGCCAATCCGACAGTCGGCGATGTTTTATTTCCACTGCCCGCCACAGCTAGAAGGTGAGTAAGCGCCGCTTTCTGGGCTGTTTGGCCAGGCCAAGCCAGCCAAAAGCGGCCGGGGCCGCAGCAGGGTTGATGGGTGTTGGGGTCTTCGCCCCTCGAGGTGGCAGCCGCATGGCAGTGCTTAGGGGCGCCCTTAGCCCCCCTCCCTACACCCAGCTCTATCCCTCCGCCCGGGTGCCACCTGCCTCCCACCTCCCTCTCCGCCTGGGTCGCGCGCTGCCCCGGGCTATGGGTGCCTCGGGGACGCCTGGTCCTCCCAGCACAGATGCTGGTGTCACGCCTCTAATCGGGGCTCCTCTACCCAGGGGGCCCGCATCAATCTTTCACGGTGTTTTGCTAACATCCCAGAAAGCCAAAGCAAGTTGAACTGCCCGCTGCTCTCCACGAAGGGCTAAGCTGCCCTCACCCTGGGCGTTGTCGAGAATGCTCCGGGATCTCACACGTAATTCTGGATAACTTAATGTCAGTTCCTAGTGGCAAAGCTGTCCCTGGAGACAAGTTCCCTGCTAGTTCCCTGCTCCGGTGTCTAGGCATAGCTTCACCTCAGCGACCCACAGATTTCTGACCACAAATGCCCACTCTTACTAACCCCCAGCCCAGGGTCTGGTTGTTTAAGGACTTTAGACCTTAGGGGGGAAAACCGCCTTTCTCTATTCCTTCTATGGTCTCCTCTTCCAGTTGTGAGATGGGACAGGGTAGTCAGAAGGGAAGAGCTTGCATCTCTGAGTATCCCTAAGCAGGGCCTGGGGGATCCAAGGGTGAATTCTCCGGGGTCGTAATTTGTAGCTCTCAGGTGGACATGCTGCCCCAAACTCTGGCTTGTGCTTTGGCCCTGAGACACTGGAACTTTTATAACCTGGGATACTTGTCCACCTTTCTGTAAGTTACCTTAAGGAGCTTCCAGTCTCAACCATGATTTGGGAGTTTGTTTTCATTTCATTTGTTTCAAAGCCCTTAAGCATCTAGCAGAGTTTGTTAAAGAAAGCTAGTGGGAAGGCAGCGTTTGATCTCTGCATGCCTGCATTTCAACACCAGGACAGACCCGGGCAGGGAAAGCTTTATGGCAAACTCAGAAGGGCACAATCCTTGACAACTATACCCAGGACTGGAGGAGGCCCTACTGGTCTGTGGTGTGTGGTTTCTATGTGCCGTTGACTCCAACTTCAGCACTAATTGCCAGTCCCCAGCCCGGGCTATTGTCATTGGGAAAGGAAGAGATCTGGGCATTTAGTAAGCTGTGAACATTCTGGTGACCTAAGCAGGAAGATACATACATACATACATACATACATACATACATACATACATACATTTATCTGAGCCAGTTTTTCAGGAGGAGAGTTTATGTCTATCTAGATCAGTATTGCTGGGGCAGGATGATGCACGGTAGATGAGAAAGTTGAGAATGAGGACAGACCTTGGATTCTAGGGAGGTACAAAGGAGAAAGCAAAGTGTGAATGAGGTCTTACTTCTCAGATACTTTGTTCAGATTAAATTAGAGACTGCTGCATGGGTCTCAAGGTTTTTTAGAAGAGGAATCCATACACTGGCAAGCAAAGCCCTCCTCTGCTCATTGTATGTTTCTCATGAGTCCATCGTCACCTGAGCGTTTCATGCCATGTCTGCTATGTCTTATTTGCACTGAGATTCTACTGTCTGGTCATCCTGGACGTCGGTTTTGTTTTTAATTCATAACACATCTTTGAGATTTTTCCATGCTGTGTGTATGGATCTACTTATTTTCTTTTAGACTGCTGTGTAGTATTCCAGTATTTGTTTTGCAGAATATATCCATTGACATGTGCTTTGTACGCTTCTTGTTTTATTTCTTAATTGCAACATCTCCAAGAACATTCTTCTCTCTCTTTCAGCATACTTTATAGCTATGTTCATAGATTAAAAACATGTGCACTTAAATTTTTGATGGTTACTATTCAGTTGCCTTCTAATACACTTTCACCAATTGATACTCATATGAATAATAAATGCACACACGCAATTTATTACAATTTATAGGTTCTGGGTATCATTATGCACTTTTTTGGACAAAGCAATGAGCATATTATTTCATTTTCCTATTATATTCTGTTTGAGGAGCTGTGCATAACTTTATCAAGTATTCTATTTCTTCTCAAGAAGCCTACTTTCATCTCTTTTTCTTTACTCTTAGGTTGTCAGTCTTTTTCTTCCTGACTTGGTGAAGTCAGATCTTGCAGGCTTCAGCTGGGAAGCATTGTGTTGAAGCAAGGTGTAAGTGAGGAGACTAGGTGAGACAGTGACCAGGAAGTCTGAGAGTGTGTTCCATGCTGACCAGTCAAATACTTCACTCAGAAATAGACAGCATGGCCTGCTGCAAAGCAATGGAAACAAGACTGCTTTGAATCAATCCCTTTCGATTTCTATCAAGATGAAGAGAAATACTTGTTACTAGGGTTTTGAGGAAGAATGCAATTTGGATAGGTGGGAGAAAGCTCTATTAGAGAAGGGGGACAGTATTTTGACAAGACATGGTCAGGTAGGGTTAAACATCACTCACTGGGACTCTCTGTGTAGATGGAATATGAGAAGGCCTGGAGGACTTGGTCTTCTAGGGGCTGAGGTCCTGGTGAAGATGCTACTCGGATACTGTGGCCTGAGAGCTGTGGCTGAGCACTGGGTGATTCTGACAGTAGCACCCCACGGCAGGTGAAACACACACTGGTTAATGGAAACCTACTCATTTGTTTTCTTAAGAAGCCATTGTGGACTATCAAGTAAATAGTGCACATTTGGAAAATGATCCAAATGCACGTTTGGGGCCAGACTCCTTTCTGGCTTTATCATGAGCACTGGAGGCTGCTGGCAAGAACAATGTCTTTTTCCAGGGAAGTGTGGACAGTAGGATGTTGTGTAAGGCCTGGTTACCTAGTGGTCTACCCTTGGAGAGTGGCCCTAGCAAGTTGGTTTGGCATTCGTTGGTGTAGGCCTTTTATTAATTGGTGTCTATGTAATAGACCCACTATGGTGCTGATGAGCTGTGACCAGCAGTAATTAACAATCATTTATAAACTTCTTACCTCCTCAAATTCTGTACTTCTAGAAGGAAAGTGGTGTGAAAAGCTCTTGGTGTTTTCTTTCTTCCCCAGCCTTTAGCCCTTGGTGGTTATAGTAACAAGGGGAGTAAGCTGACAGGTGAGCAAAAGGAATGTTCAGTCTTCTATGGGAAGGTCCAAGTTAGGGGGTGGGCACACAGGGGGCAGAGGGAAGTCAGGAGTAGGAAGTCAGATGAGGACCAGAGTTCCCTCAAGCCACTGACCCCTCCTGACTCAGAGACCACAATTTCACAGGGAGTGGACTTGACTGTTTTGGGTATTAAAGTCACCATTGTCCTGTGCAAAAGGGAAGCCTGCTCCTACAGACAAAGGTTTTGTGGAGACACGGAGCCTGGGGTATCGAAAAGAGGGGCCTTACTAAGAGAGCATAGAGAAACATGTTGGAAGGACGGGCTCTCTGGGGAGAAGCATGGAAGAGGACTACTGTGTGTGTGTCAGGGTCTACAGACCCAGGTCTCTCTCCCTACACTGATCTCGTCTACTCCATATAGGCACAGCACCTTTTGGCAACCACTCCACAGGGGATTTCGATGATGGGTTTCTTCGAAGAAAACAACGCAGGAACCGGACCACCTTCACGCTTCAACAGGTAAGGATAGATTCCCCAATGTGAGAACCAGGTTCTTCCCATCTCCCCCAAAGTCACAGAGGAGCCACTCTCTTTTGCCTTTTAAAAGGAGACCAACTGTTGAGTTAACTAGGTCTTTGTTTCCTTAAATAGCTTATGTGTTTTTGCCTGGAGAAAGGATAGTTAACTTGGATCTTCTAACTCCGGATATTCAGTAAGGGAGCAGCTATGGAATTTTCCACATATCTTAGACAGATGATCTGAGGCATGTTTCCCTGTCAGCAGAATGCAAGTTGGGCATTTTTTTTTTGTAATTTTTTTTGAAACAGGGTTTCTCTGTGTAACCCTGGGTATCCTGGAACTTGCTCTGTAGACCAGGCTGGCCTTGAATTTACAGAGATCCACCTGCCTCTGCCTCCCAGGTGCTGGGATTAAAAGCTGCACCACCACGCCCCGCATCAGGTTGGACATTCTTGTCCCCAGAAAGACAGATGGGAGAACTGACTTACAAGGTTGACTCATGAACAGACAGTGTAGCTGGCTGGAAGTAGAAGGGCCATAGCTGTAACTTTTATTCTGGGCTTCCTAGAGCTGAGTGTCCAAGGGCAGCCAGTCTCCTTCCTAAACAGAGTAAAGGTGACCCCCACCCACCTATAAGGCTTCTGTGGGGCTGACTCTTCTAGGGTTCCATAAGTGGACAGCCTTTTTCTACTTCCGTGGTGGCAACATGGAGATTACTCTATTCATGAGACTACCCTAGACCCTTTATTCCCATGAAAAACTTAAATGTAAGCACACAGAAATATCTATTACTTGTCTACTTCTATGTCTCAGGGAGGACACACTGTGGCTGTTAGTAGCCTTAGCTATGAAATCAACTGGGATTTAAGTTGTCATTCTGTGGAATTTTCCTTATCTTTAAAAAATTATATTTTATTTATGTCTTGTACATGTGTGTGTGGTATGTATGTGCATGCACCTGTGTGCACCTGCCACCTGCATGCCACTGTGTACATAAAGAGGTCAGAGAACAACTTTCAGGAGCTGGTTCTTTGCTTTCACCATGTGCGTCTCTGGGACCTGGCTCTGTTCACCAGGTTCGGGCAAGCCCCTTTACTATCTGAGCCTTCGCCCAGGCCTTTGTGGAATCTTTATAGACAGCTCTTTTCTTCATTTCCTTCCTGGATTTGATCTTCGAAATTGCTTCCTCACCACTCCTGGCAACTCTGAAATGCGAATCCTTTCCCTCACCTAGCCGCAGCCTCTCACCAGTGAACATTTTTTTTTCTTTTATCAGCTGGAAGCTCTGGAGGCAGTCTTTGCCCAAACACACTACCCCGATGTCTTCACCAGAGAAGAGCTAGCCATGAAAATAAACCTCACAGAAGCCAGAGTGCAGGTAAACCTTCTCTTAAATTATTTAACTCTCTAATATTAAAACTGGCAAACTTTTTTTTTGACATCATGACTGCAGAGTGCACATTTGGCCAAAGAAAGCAAATGAAGACTATCTGTCATTTTCATGATGCACTTTAATAACATCAACATAATGTGGAATATTAGATTAGGTTGATTAATCGGTCATTCATAATTAACTAGTGATAATGTTCTACACTAATTTGTCCGCGTCTCTAAGGTACTAAATTACATCAATGCACATCCATTTCCTTGCTTTGGAAAAAAAAAAAAAAGCTGAGATGCTATTCGCAAAGCAAATCTGACCGCTCCGGGGTGAGGCCGGTCAATTGCAGAGAACCGCGTTTTCAGATGGGAAGCAGGGCAGGATCTGCTTTCCAGAAATTGCATCATGCCCAACTTTTCCCCTGCACATAGCCTCTTTGAGCAAAGTGGACCTGAAAAACACGTGCAATTTAAAAATCTTTAAACAGCAGCAGCAAAACGGCTGAGCAGATATGGGCTGGCCAGCTAGCCGGGGTGGCAGCCACTAAGCTGCATTGCTTTTCTGGAAGCTGCTTTTAAGTGCCGAGCCCAGCAGCCTTGCCAGAGTGAGTACGGGAGGCAGCCTCACAGTGCTGCCTCTCCAGGCCAGTTATTCTTTGCGCACAATTATATATTCATTTTATTTATGGGGTTTCCTCCATGCTGTTTCTGTTCTTTTTTATGTAGGAGCTTGGGGTTAAGACTATGCAAAGATCTAATTGTAGGAAATATAATAGTTTGCTTTCTGTTCCCCTGGGTCATGTTAGTATCTCTTAAAAACCAATGGCTGAAGAGAGATAATGGAATTCTGAGCAGTAAATTGGGGGTTGTAAACAAATTATTTCCCCTATAATCAGATTATGTGATCCTGATTATTAAATCTGAACATGAATCATTGGTCATATGCAGGCAAATTAAACTGATTATTATTTGGGAATGAAAATGTTCTTTGGCCCGGACCCCGTCTATAGTTTCTTTTTTTAATGCCAGCTTGCCAATAGCTGCCTAAAGACTGAACTGCAAATTGAGATAAATGACACAATTATTGAGCATTCAGAAGTAGAAGATCATAACTTCTCCCTGAAAGGTGCAAGGGTAAGATAGGGGTGGTGACAATTAAAGCTGAGAATTGTTGTCCAGGCCGTTGTTGGCTATTATGCAGGCAGACAATGGCAGGCACGCTTGTGCGTAGCCAGCTTCCATGTGGGGACAAGAGCCTCGGTGGCGGGAAGGGAGATGTGTTTACACTTATACCACTTGCTCATTCAAATATGATTAATGTTCTATAAAGCAGGGTCTTAATCGAAGCTGATGTTGTCAAACAATAACTAAATAGGGAAATAAACGACTCCATCATGCTCCTTCCTCAGAAGCAGGCGAACTGTCAGTGCAAAGTCATTAAAATATGATAATGAAAAATAGCTCAATTAAATGTTGTTATAGCTGTGACCTTCATTCAATTAAGACACAAGAAAGTGTCTGCATTTTGCTTTGCATTTAACTGCCCTAAATTTAGAATATAGATAAAATCATTATTCAATGGTTGCTGATATGTGCAATTAAAAGCCAACACGATTAAAAACAGAAAGAAACTCGGTTGAAGGAGAAAGAAAATTATGAGATAGGGTGGGCTTGCGGGAGGCTCAGCCTCAAGGGCCCAGGCTCTTTCTCTACTCCAGTGTGCCACTGAGAGAGAGGAAAGGGCATTATTTCTGCAATTTGGAGAGAAGCCTGGCCAAACCTGGATTTTAGACAGAAATTATCTCTGATAAGAGGTGAGGAGAGGGAATGTTTCTCTAGGGAAAGACCTGTGGGCTTTTGTTGCTTTCTGTGAAAATCTTGAGCTGGAACTGCCAGGATTCTATCAGGCAAATGTAATTTCTTTTTCTTCCAAGACTTAGGAATTACCTGACACCAATTTCTATGCGAGTGCCAGACCAAGGCCAAGGTCAGACAAACCTGAGGATAAAGTAGATGGGACACTAATCACTCTTTACTGAGAGTCCAGTTGCTGTACATTAAGCACTGTGCAGTATTTTGAATGTATGTCAGCCTTCCTAACAATACTTAGGGGTGGTAGCATAGCCCTCTTTCCCAAAAGTGTGGCTTACAGTCCTGAGCCACGCCACTGGAGTTCTTGTTGTGGGTTCTTTCATTATTGAAAACTCCCACGCGCCCCCTCCCCCATCTGTGAAATGGGGATGACTTATTTCTGAGAGTTGGTGTGAACCCCAATCCGCATTTGTTAACCAAGCTTCAGAATTTCTAAGCCACTCTGATTCCAGAAAGAGGGTTTCTCCTGGGTGCTGCAGGCGGCTGGTCAAGAACAGGTTCCTGCACTGTCCTTTGGGGGGGGGGGGGGAAGCTCGAGTGTGAGCTTGTTGGAAGGTGGAGTGTGTCTTTTTTGACGAGAAGCCCCAGAACAGCATTTTGCAAATTGCTTTCACTGTGTTCCCAGTAGGGAAAACACTTTACATCAAAATCACGTTCTCACAGGCAGCTCAGCATTGCGAACTCCTACAGGACACTGCTTTCCCTTCCTGTGGGCAATGCCCTTGGTACTTTCTGCTCTTTACTAGTCATTGAAAAATGCCTGTCAGAAGCAGCCCAGCTGACCATCTGTGGTCTGAAGATCCGAGTCAGAGGACTGAGGGTGTCTGTCTGCATGGGCCTCCCGGGGTCCGTGCTTGGGTCATGACTGGGTCCTCCTGGCTGACTGTCTGCCTCCCTTGGGTATGTTTCCTATGGGATTTAGGTTTGGTTCCAGAACCGAAGAGCCAAATGGAGGAAGACAGAGAGAGGGGCGTCTGACCAGGAACCAGGGGCCAAGGAGCCCATGGCAGAGGTGACACCACCGCCCGTGAGAAACATCAATTCTCCTCCCCCAGGGGACCAGGCCCGGAGCAAGAAGGAAGCCCTAGAGGCCCAGCAGAGGTAAGATTTGCTGGCCCAAGGACTATGGGTCTGGGGTAGCTCTGTAGGCAGGCTGGACCTCAATGGAATGTTCTGTTTTTGCCAGCCTGGGACGAACAGTGGGCCCTGCTGGCCCTTTCTTCCCCTCCTGCTTGCCAGGGACCCTCCTGAACACAGCTACTTATGCCCAGGCCCTGTCACATGTGGCATCTCTGAAAGGTAAGATTTGCTGGACTGGCGGGGGGGGGGGGGGGGGGGGGGGGGGGGGGGGGGGGGTTTGGTCTCCCTGTTGTCTCTGCTGGGCAACCTTTGGCTCCTATCAGTCACAGACAGGATCACAGTAACCATCCTCTGCCACACTTTCTGTGCTGTTTGATTTCGAACAGCCTGAGAATGTAGGTGAAAGTTACTCTGCTTCATCCCACCCAACTGAGGGCTTTTCTTAGAGGCAGCCCTCTTAGAAGCAGCAATGCTTCCACAGTCTCCTCTGGTCACAGTTTAAGGTGCTGATTTGGAACTCCTGGAGAGGACTAAGAGAGGCGGCTGTCTCAGCTTCCAAGGAGTTGTTCATCTGAACATCCTGCTTATTTATACTTCTTAGGGATTCCTCGGGACAGAGGTCTGAATCCGTAGGACTTTTGATGTCTTGACAGTGGCTAACATTGTGGGAAGGGAGAAATCTACTGTAGTTGCTTGATCAGGCCGAGAGCAAATGCCTTTGCAGGGCTGTTCCTTGGGGATTTCTGGGGCACCATCCCTAGAAGTAAGGGCTTATCTAGTGTCTTTCAATTCCAGGCCACAAAAACATAACCAAACCCTACTGGAAATGTTCAGTAAGTCCAGCAGCTGTGCTAGTGGGGGAACAAGGAAGGGCCCCATAGTGGATCTGGGAGATGGTTGTGAATGATGTCCTCAGCGCTTGTTTGTCACAGGAGGTCTGGGGGATGGGCATGTGGGTGTGGGCTGTAGGTTTTCCTCAGAGAATTGGCAGTAGGGGAGGTCTCCTAAGATATCTGCTGCCTGTTCTGTATTACAGTGTTGTGGTCTCAGATATCATTGGCCTCCAAGAGGTCCCTCTACAGCAGATGTGTTGAAGTAAACACAGACACACAGGAGACAGACAGACAGACAGACAGACAGACAGACAGACAGACAGACAGACACACACACACACACACACACACACACACAGGCCGGCATGCATCCACTTACTGAGGAACCTCCAGCCATACACATAGGACACAACAGGCTGTGCTGGAACACTACAGGCTGAGCAGCCTAAATCAAAACTGTGAAATATAAAATGCCCCAGAACCGCAAACTTGAGTATAGAGGTGATGCAACACATGGACAATTCCACATGAACCTCATGTGACAGGCATGTGAAAAGGCAAAGGCATTAAAATTATTGTGTGAAATTACCTTCATAGTCAGTGTGTAAATATGCATGAGCCCTAAAAAAACTTTGTTTTTAGACTTGTGGCTCAACCCCAAGATACCTTATTATGTATATTTTGATATTCAAATATTCCCATGTAAAAAAAATCCCAGATCAGAAACATTTCCACACATGAGGTTCTTATGGAATTTTCCATGTGTTGCATCACCTCTATACTCAAGTTTGCGGTTCTGGGGCATTTTATATTTCACAGAAACATTTCTGATCTCAGGCATTTTGGATAAGGGATGTGCAACCTGGACAGAGATGGGCTGCTTAGCCAACTCAAAGTCCCAGAGGAGCTTGGCACTATCCAAGGGGCTGATCCTGACAAAGACGAAAGCTTCATCCATTTATAAAACACTATCAGTTGCAGTGAGGGTCAGCTCAACAGCAAATAGCCACTTCTAACTACTAAACGTGTTCACTCTGCACCAGCCCTGTAAGTGAGAGTGATCTGCAAATTTCTCATTTCTTGTTGTTCTTGGGGTGTCTTTCTCTTAAGTAAGTTGAGCTGGGACCCTGCAGTGGAGCTTGACTTGCAGTGGCTGGAGGTAGGGTGAGGTGGGCAAAGCCTAACCTTCAGGATAACAGTGGGTGGGCAGGGGTCAGCTGAGGTTTGCACTCTCCATGTCTTAGTGAGAATCCACCTTGGCAATATCTTAAGGGAGAGGACAGGACTAATAGAGGGGCTGCTGACCTGGGCCAGCTGTTTATACACATCTGTCTACCTCTTTGCTTTTCACTCCCTCTGTTTCCCTTCTGCTCTGCATTAATCCCCTTTGGCTGGGCTGTGCATCCCCAGAGGCTGTCCTGTGCCTGCCTTGCTATGAACTGAATTCCTTTGATAAGACATTACTTTGGGGGATCTGGGATGGGTAGGGCCTTGCAGAGGTGGCAGGAATCACAGTGTGCTCACCAGACAGGGACACATCTCTGCACATTGCAGGGGCCTGCCTGGTCACCTACAGTGTCCTCTGGCACATAACACTCTTCCTGGAAGGTCAGGTTTAGGTAGGGAGAGAGGGTGCACAACAAGACCTATTGGGACCCACAGCATTCTGGAATGCTTCTAGAGTAGTGATTCTCAACCTTCCTAATGCTTCAACCCTTTAATACGGTTCCCCATGTTGTGGTGACTCCCCCAAACATAGAGTTATTTTCATTGCTACTCTACAACTGTAATTTTCCTACTGTTACAAGTTGTAATATGAACATTTTTGGCCATAAAGGTCTGCCAAAGGGGTCAGGCTTACAGGTTGAGAACCACTGTTCTAGAGGCAGGCAAAAGTGAGAAAATGGAGCACTGTAGTCATGTTCTGCCTCCCTAGTACAAATAAGCTCTTGCCTACTGTTCTGGAAGCATGGGGCCCTTTTGATTTGTCATTTTCCTGCTTCAAAATAGGCACGAGTAAAAGGCAGAATTCTCCATTACTAGAGACAGTGATGACAGGAATGATGCAGAAGAACCCCAAGATTTGGCCTGGGAAGAGGTGACGGTGGGGTTAGAAAGATTAGGAAGCTTTGCCTACAAAAGCCAGTGGCCTATCAAGTCAGCTGGTGGTGGCAAATGGGAGAGTGGACAGTTTTGTTAGAATTTCTGAATTTTCTATAGAAGCTGGACGTGTGTTTTTGTTTGGAATATTCCTGTTGTACTCCTTTTGGACAACTATAAAGAAGCATGTAGACCAGTGGTTTTCCATCTGTGGGTAGCAAGCTCTTTAGGGAATCAAACAACCCTTTCAAAGAGGTGGCCTAAGACCATTGGAAAACATAGACAGCTACATTATGATTCATAAGAGTAGCAAATTTATAGATACAAAGTAGCAATGAAAATAATTTTATGGTTGGGGATCACCATGACATGAGGAACTGTGTTAAATGGTCACAGCATTAGGAAGGTTGAGAACCTCTGATGTAGACCATGATGTATAAACAGGAGATGTTTGTTTCTTGTAGCTCTAGAAGCTTGGAAATCAGGGTTCTGGCAGCATGGGCCTCTGCTGAGACCTGGCTGGGCTGCAGATGCAGCAGAAAGAGCAAGTGAACTAGTTCTTAGGCCTCCTTCAAGAGGTCACCATTCCCCTCAGGAGGTTTCATGTCCTTGTCCCCCCAGGAGCCCTACCCCCATCACTGTCAGCTGGTGAGTTAAAGTGTCAACATATGAATTTGGGGGAACGCAATCATTCAGTTCACAATGGTTTCCATGTTTCAAATGTTGTCTCCAAAGTCTTTGGGTCAACACAGCACATCCACGAACAGTACTTTTCTTTCTGTCTTCTCTGTCTGCTTTCTGAATTCTTGTGTTCCTGTTCCTCTCTCCTCTGCAGATCCCTCCCGAGTAAAGCCCCTTCCTGGGGCTTTCCCCGGCCAGCATGTGTGGCCCTATGCCCTTTGGCCTTTCTGAGCATCTGGCTTTTTCATCTCCTTCATGCTAAGCCACATGGGAAAGGGAGGGAAATTGAAAATCTCCTCTGTGTTGGCCAGGTGAACTCACATTTTAGTCTTGTTTGCTCGGTTCTTATAGTGACACAGTCAGCATCATGCAGGGAGGGGATTCAGATAGATAACTATGGTGCTGGTGCTAGGATGGCTAAAATAATGACCAACTTGTCACTTCCTCCTGTGATGGCTCTTCCAGATAGGATGTATTCTGAGCTGGAAATCCCCTGGGCTGCCCCACTGTCTGCTGTAAATCCAGGTGGGCTCTGCAGCTCCTGAGGTTGGTTTGGGGTAACTCTGAACCAGGGTACAGGGTGACACATGTCCTTTTATTGTAAGTCGGTTTCCGTCCACTCTTGATATTCAACACTCAGTTGTTTTGTGGGAGCCATGTTAAATGCTTTGGAGAGGGGTCAGATTCCTGACTCCCAGTGACCACCCCCTGTCTTCCCAGACTTTCTCCAACCTGTGAAATGAAGTGAATAGCAGCATCTGGCCTAGGAGGTTAGCCCAACTTTCTAGGGCCTGGTTGAATTGTAGGAGATCTGGTCTGTGACTCAGTTTCTGTCACTTTTCTTGTACCCCCAGATGCTGGTTCCTACTCTTGGGCTTGAACTCAGTGTTTAAGGGCCCTGGCCAGCACGAGACTACACTAGCCAGTTGGGAAGACCATTGTGTGTTCTCAGAGAACCTGTCTTGGCTTTCTATAAATGAGAAGCTGAAGTTCAGGCTCGGGAAGTGAGTTGCTCACATCTGGCAGTGTTGGGGCAGATGTTTGGCTCTAGCAGACATAGATGAAGGGCACTGTTAGAGCAAAGTCATTATCGAGCATCCCCCCTCCTGTGAGTAAGAAAGCTATACTGGCCCTCGTCAGCTTAGTGTCTGTAGTCCTGAGCTTTTCCTTAGATCCTGTGGGAAATCCAATGGGGCTATTGCCGGCTGCTTTTTGAATGTTAAGGCCATTGAAGGGAGGGATGGTCCAGAAAGTGAGAGGTGAGAGGGTCTCCTGGCCATCCTCTGGGCTGTGCACAGTCTGAGCAGTCAGTAGCAGGTAGCTTTCTTAGGAAATCAGAGGCACCAATTTGGCCTCTTTGGAAATTTATGTTGAGGGCAGGGTCTGGGACTTGGCTAGAAGACTGGAGAAGCCATCATTGGTGACTGTCCGAACAATCCCTACATCCCATCATTGCTGTGTGTGCGCTGAAGGTTGGACATTTAATGGCCCTGTCTCAGGCCCCGAGGTGAGGGCAGAAAGCATCCCATGCCTCCTAGTCTGTCCTCTGGTGCTGGCAGGCTGCTCTGGAGCCAGCAGGTTTCTTTGCTACAGTGCTTACCCAGG